TAGAACAACCTACTAGGTTGTTCTAAGTCCTCCTCGGAATACACATTTTTATTAACATCTGTTGGTAGCAGTTTCCTGGAATATAATTACTATTGGTTTTTAAAAATATAAATTTATTTAAAAAGTCCTTTTGAAAGAAGTTAAACTGGGCGCCATTTTTTTCCATGCCTATATTTACTTACATCTATTCAATCTTGAAATGTGAGAGAAAAACTGATGGCAAATTGTCAGAATTTTAGTTCCGACCACACAAGACAGAAGGAGGTTCTAGGTTTGGCCTAATTTATGACTACTGGTCTAAACAATTGCAAGTTATACCATAAACTGCATACACTCCAGGAAGGCATTGGACACAAACTGTCTTTGAAACTGGGTATCCCAAACTTTATTTTACTGGATTTATCAGAAGTACCATGGAGAGCAGTCACAGTTAGTGGCGACACACATACAGAACAACTTTCTGCCTACCCATTGGTATTCAACAAAAATTAAAAACACACATACATGCCAAAGAAAATAGGCACAGAAGAATAAAAAACAAAGAACTTAAATCATTATTGCAAACCTAACTCGTGATATTGTTATATTTTCAAAAAAAAAAACAAAACCCAACACCAAATCAACAAACGTGAAATTCATCATTGCAGATGTAAAAGGAGGATAGAAAGTGTATTAAAGCATCTTTAAAGATGCATTTACGGATAAAAAAAAAAAAAAAATGTGAAAAAAGGGGATTTAGCAACCAAGAAACATAACAGATGGTTTGGAACAAGACAGATGGCGACTTAAATACAGATAAAGGATCTTGGAGACAGAAAGACCATTGAGGACACATGCAGATATGTTGTATGCATCTAGGTAAGAAGGTATAAGATAGAAAATCAAGAGGGTAGCAGTTGGCATAGAGAAACTGTTGAGTCAGTTTGGAAAGCAGCCAGGCTATTGTACGCAAAAAGATTAACAGAAAATATGAAGCAGCCTGACATTGACACCAACCACCATGCTTTAAAGCCCAATTGAAAGAAACAAAACCAAATGAAGATCAAATGGAACAAGATAAAGAAATAGTTAAACCATCTAAGAAAGAAAAAATAATCAAATGGAGTGAAAAGGTAGAGAGAGAGAGAGAGGTTTTTAATTTCTCCAAAAAGGCAATATATGTTATTCTTGAGTGTAGTGAGTTTTTTTCCTTTTAAATAAATATGTTGAATTAAATCTATGGTTAGTGTATGACCATAAAGGCCACCTCACCGATAACACTGTACAGAATATACATAATATGCTTTCTTTAAAGACAAAATAACATTTAGATGTACATACAGTATTCCTCATTTGTCAGTATACAGCCATTGTATTAAAAGTAGCAAGCCATTTTTTTTCTCTCCCCGTTTTCTTTTTTACAAATAACCCATGCAACTCCCATATAGATTTAAGATATATAATTCTATTATCTCCTCTCTCATTCAATAACAGCAGATATTGCCTTTTTAACATAAATGATATATATCTTGATTAATGATGTGGAATTAATTCAAACAGACTTTGCAGCTTTGTTTGACTTAAGAAAAAAATTTAGCTCTGCACAAACTGTAACTTAAGAAGAGGGATCAAAGGAAAAATCTAAATCTGTACAACATTCAAACCTCTTCCTGTTAACACCATAGGAATGGGAAACTCTAGATTCTCTAGGACTATGTACAGGCATTTCATCATTCATGCACAGTGTCAACAAGTAGCACATCGACATTCCAAAACATGGAAAATGTGGCATAGGGGGAGACGGACAGGGGGAAAAGGAGGGCTGTTTGGGGGGGAATATAACAGAAAAAAAGTACTGCCCATTTTGGTTACTTTGGCAGGACATTTAGAAAGAGAGAAAAGGCATGAAAACACACGAGGACGGATAAGACTTCATAACAATACACATGCTGGGCAAGAGGAGTCCATTTGTCTCACTGGCCCAGCAATCAATGTATGGCTGTAACTTCATTATTTTTTTTTAATATTTTCATATTCTTCCCACATATTTTTTTTTATTACCATCTGTCCTCCCTTGATAGTGTCCTGTACTTTAAAATGTTAAAGGTAAAGAATAGCTCCGGTAAGTTTTTTCTTTTAATCCCAACATTCCTTTTCTTTTGCTCATTTTGTACCAGAGGAATGTCCATCCTTTTATCTTTACTTTCCCCCATTTCTTTGACTTTCCAGTGTTGCATGTATTTATTTCTCAGTCTGTCAGACAGTCGGTAAGCTAAGAAGTGAATTAGGCATCGGAGACATATCAACTTTTACATGAGTAGCAACATTATTAATGGTTCACAACTGATCCAACACCACTTGATTATTATTATTTTTTTACAGGAACATTGTAATTACTGTTTAAGTCAATCATTAAACAAAAATATGTTTACATCGAAAGCGACTCTGCTAATCAAACGGTCATTTAGCCGTTTTATTTAGCAACATGAAGCAGTGCAAGGCTTTTCCTTCATTTTAAGATTCTACAGTTAAACAGCAAAAAGTCCAAACAGCAGTCAACAGCTCAGTTGTTTAATCCTTCGTTGCTTTGTGTTAAAGACTCGTTACTTTGAGGCCTGAGCCAAGAAACTAACTTATAAGCTATTGCAGTGCTTTTCTAAGAAAAGTTGGTTTATGACTTTAAAAAAACCCTGCCTGTTTGGTATTTACAGTTAAAGTTAGCAAGCTTGCTGGTTGCAGCTCAAAATTAGCAAGCCAGAAATTAGTTTCCCACCTCCGTTCAAACCATGCGGACAGCTGCCGTTAGCTTCATGTTAGCCAAGCCCGTTAGTCAAGGTTGTAACATAGAAACTGTGTGCAACAAAGCTGGTGTTACAAGAGACCACCAGCCTTCAAAGTAATTTTTTTCTGTAAAAAAATACTCAGAAAATGGGCTGAATGCAAAAAAATTTCACGACTACAAGTGCTTCTTTCTTGTCCACCTGTTTTAAAATAAATCCAACATGTTTCGACAACATCTAAGAAAATTAATGGCTTCAAGTTATACTAAACCAATGCAGTTGTACATTTCTATTTTTTTTTTTGCTAGTATTACTATTTTAAATTGATTACAGTGTATAAACCTTCAGCTCAATCCCAGTGAAGAGACAATTACATAATAACTTTAATTAGAAAGGTTTGAGTTGAGTTTAAATGACTATTTCCTGCTGCTTTTTAAAGAAATGTGTATATGAGTATATTTGGTGTTTTTGGAAAGGAGTTTGATTAGAAAACCTTTTACTGGATTCGTTACAAATATTTGTGATAGAAAGATATCCCTTTGGCAAAATAGGGGTAAACTGTCACTCCAAAGACTTCATACAACAACAGTTATCTAATGCAGAGCTTTACATATTTCAGTCTTGTTTTGCCATTTTGTTTCATTATCGATGCAAGAAGGCTGTCTGAGCCATGTTGTTGGAGCTTTATCCAGTTAAGTGTTTCCTACTCTATTGTTCTACTTGATTATTTAAGAAAATCTAGAACATTTAAGATGTCTGTCTTTAGAATTCTCTGGATATTCATCTAATGAAGGCCTCTGCCTGACTACCACTCGCATCGATAACATTCTTTGACAAAACTACTGCTAAGTTTACAATGGTTTAACTAATCCAGACTAATTATTCTACAGATAAAGTTTAAAATACTGCTTATTGAACATTAGGTTAAAAAAAATATATTGAAATACTTGCCAATTAATTTGCATACAGTAGTGCTATAGTACAAGTATGTGTACACTGAGATTTTCATGGTTTGCAGCTGTATAAATAAAATAACAGTCTGAAGTCTAAACATCTCTCAGTCAAAATAGGCTTATTAATGATTTGGGCTGTTTTTGTTGTTGATTTCAAGGTTTTTTTTTGTGTTCCAATTAGTGGTTTTGACAAAATTTTGACTGTTTATATAATTATTGGTAGGTTAAAAGAACAGACAGCAAAGCTAATGTTTTACTATAATCTGCTCTGTCTTTCCAGAGATTGCCAATATAATTTGGACCACCGTCCCTCTGTGCAATCAGCTGCTGAAATTCTTTGCCTAAGGTTCATAAAAAATTGTTTTAATTAAATGTTGTCTTAAAGTAGTGACTCCAATATTTTGTTTCATCTTGGATGTAGGACCTCTTGGTTCCTACATCAGTGAAAATAGATTTTTGTAGAATTCGGACCATCAAACCAGAGATATGAAAAGGCTTTGGAGCCTTTTGGTTTGAATATGTTTTGGTCGCTCCTTGCTGATAAAATGATGAAATGAATACAGCTTCTTTTTTAGATACCAATTTAAATAATAAAAAGAAAAAGACCTCAATATTATCACCCTTAGAGGGAAAAAACAGTAATGAATATTGAGGAACTGCCTATATTTCTATCACATGGCTTTTATTTACGCTGCTATTGTGAAGTTACTGTAACATAATGAAGTATGAAATGTCATGTTTTTCTATTGAAATATATTTTTTGGAAATAAATATTAGCAAAGAAATTGTGTTAACAGCATCCTCATGGTTAAACACCTTTATAAATCAGCTTGAATAAAGCTACACAAATGGGTGTAGCTAAAGCAAGAACTTAGACCTATTTTTAAAAGCTGTTTCAGTCAAAACGGGATGAAAATGAGCAGTTTGGGCCAAAAGTTAAGCAAAACTAGTTTTGATAGTTGAGTTATTTAATGGAGCCTCTTTTATCTTTTTTTTTTCTTTCTATGAAACAAAGTCTTATCAAGCGAGAGTCAATCTTAAGTGTGAAAAGTGTCTATATATATCACCCCTAATGGCCAGTCTAACTATATTCTCAGAATTAGAAACCAATAGGAAGGACCAGGAATATGTTAGTTTGAACAAAGCCCTTAAGTTAGAAATATTCAAATAAATCATTGAACAGTCAACAACGGCTTGTTTAGGAGGCAGGATATTGTCCAAGTTGTTGAATAAATTGAGTAGAACTCACAAAGTCCATCCGGTTTTGCAGAAATTGGCATCTATACTATTTTTTTACTAATTATATGGCAACGATTTGACTGAAATATGATTGTGGAAAATCTCAATAGTTAAAAAAGGAGATTCCTTCATTAAAGAAAAGAAACCCCAACACACAATGATAACATGGATAATAGCAACGCGACAACTATGGTTTCTCTAACAGTTTTTGACGGTAGAGTGGCCTCTTGTCCTCACAGACATGGCCCTATTAAAGGTAAAAGCACAAAATCCTCCACCATCAACTTTGATTTAGATAAGGACCTTAAATTATTTACATCTACAGTATAAAGCAACAGAACGAGGACCCATTTGAGGGGCCGGTGGCATAACCAAGACATTCAGAAAGAAACCAGTCAAGCTGAAACGCCTGTCCTCCTCATAGTATTTACAAGTGCCAAACCCGGCAAGGATCAAAGTTTCGTCAGATGGAACGGGCCCCTCCCAGAACAGAAGTCCACTTCAGCATTTCTACAAGCTGTGAGAGTCAAGAAGACCTCAAGCACAATAGCATTTTTGTCTTACGCAGCAACAGAAAAAACAAGAGGCATTTATTTCACAGTAGTTTACCATCTTCCCACCTCAAACACACCACCATACTCCTGCAGACACATAGTTTGTTGTCAATAAATGGCTGTGGCCAAGGATCCTGTTTGTCTATTACATTTTTTAGCTTTGAACGTGCGTGCAGAAACTGTATTTTGAACCTGGACACAAGAGGATCTTTGCTCCAACTTGAGGTCTGCAGAGATTGCTGCTTAAGCCACATTTTCAAACCATGAGCACTCATGATCTATTTAAAAGTCCAACGCAATAAGCTGATTTGGATTCTCCTATCATGGATTCATCTGAAACAAAGGACATGTATTGCAACTATTGTGTTATGGTAAATTTGTTTTATGAATTTAAACCAAAATTTGTCATCGACAGCATGATGTGTGTGGATTTGTGGTGAGAAGGGAAAGGGGATTTTTTTTTTTGTATTCCTTTTGCCATCAGTGAAGTAATTTCTGTAGTGGCTTTGAATCTCAAGTAAGATGTTCTTCCATTTATCTTTGATTCCCTCCGCTGCTATTTTGAGCGCATCGGAAGGTTCTTCATCTGTACATACATCCATTTGTCATTTCATGTATTGCACAAAGGGAGGGAGTAATAGATCAATGACAACCTTAATTTTCAACAACAATCCATTCCGTTTATCCCTTTCTTTCATCCTTTTTCTTCTGCCCCACCCTTCTCTTCTGCATCTTTCTTTCTCTTAAAAGCCTTTGATGTGGCAATAGGCCTCCAGTGAGGAGAAGAGAATGTAAAGGAGCCAGAGGCTGATGAACAGCATGGTGGTCAGGACCTTAGCAGTCCGGGGCCCGCCAAGCTCCCCACCGATTTCTGGCCGCCGTCGGTACATCAAGGTGGCAACGGTGATAAAGGCAAATATGGTGAAGAGTGTAACGGAGAAAGCCAGAGTGCCAGGGTCAACCTTAAACTCGCGGCCCTTGCTGTTGTGGTAGATGGCAGCAATGGACCATGCCACCTGTCAGGCACGAGAAGAACAAATGTTATGTTCAACATGCTTAGAATTTTAGAAGAGAAAGGATTATGAAGATTCATAAAGGCAAAGAAAAAAGCGATTTAGCAAATGGAAACCCCTCTGGACTCACCCCAATGCCAAGAAACACATTGACAGCATTGGAGCCTGTCACATTCCCAATGGATGCATCAGCATACTGATCTTGTGTTGCCGCAACTTTACTGGCAAAGGTATCTGAATGGAGAGAGAAAATAAAAGGGAGTAAACAGATTTAAGAAAACTTACAGTTTTTCCCTGTAGCCATTAGATAAAAAATTTACAACATTACGTTATACTGTTTAGTAATTTGTTCTTTTTTTCAAACTTTATACACAGCTTGGAGACTTTAAACTGGTGATTAAAAACAATTGAGTACAGTTCCCATATTCGGACAAGAGGGAAAGGGAGGGTAAAGGGAAAAGATAACAAGAAAGAGGGAAAGGAAGGAGGACACTAGGAAAGAAGGGTTGATTGGCTCAATGGAAGAAGAAACCAAAGCTTTAAGAATGTTTTTAATGGAAAGAAGAAAGGGAATAAGGATGGTGACCATGGAAGGAGAAAGACAAGGCACAAGGAAAAAGAGAAAAGAAAACACAGGGAGGGGACACAGGAGAACAATAAGAAAAAAAATTATGAAAAAAAACACAGAAGAAATAAGGAGTTCAACGTTGCCGCCTTTGGTAAGCTTGCTGAGCCAATTTTCAGATTTTAATAGCAAAGAATAAATTAGAAACAACAATGCTCCAAAAATGTTTATTTCCTGGCTGCCTGGATAAGAAGGGATTTATTGCTTAATCAATAATTTAGAGGGATAAATCTCCAATTTCACGGGCAAACAATTTTTGGCCAGGTGGCCCTCTTTTGCTGCCTGGTTCATTTTTTGCCAACTAACAGAAGCTCTAAAGGGGGACACTTTTCATCACTTTACTGACAGAATATATGAAGTCACTGCCAAATCTCAACAATAGGCTTTTTTGCGTGAACAAATAGCCAGTCAGCACTCTCTTCTCTCACTAATTAGCTGGCTGTCCCATTGCTGCAAGAGTTTCCATCTTGTTTTTATCTAGCAGAGGCAGAGCGAAGAGAGAGAAACTGTAAAAGCAAAGAGGTGAAGGATCAAAGGATGAGTAAGAGCTCTTTGGTAGTGACAGCCAAGTTGGCATTTGAAACAGAATGGGAAAGAATGGCCGGAAGGACCGCTTGTAAAGGAAAGAGGGTCAAAACAATGGACTAAAATAGTCCAGCAAAGACAAATCCCTGCTATACGTCTTAATGCTTTCAGGGCCATCTTGCTTGGCCTAACTGCGACTCTGTTTGTGTCAAGCCTGATATTCCATAAGCCTGCATGTGTGTGAGTTCCAGAATAAAAGTGGCTAAATAAACACTGCCTGGGTGTTTGTGAACAATACCACCTGGGTCCAATCTAATGCCATGCATCCACCAGCTGGCAAAGGCTAGTGAGTGCGTGCTTCAGTCGCTCTGCGATGCTTGTGGGCCTGATTGAGTGGGAGTGTGTGTGGGTTCCTGCATGTTCAGCGGCTCTCTGCATGTTTGTGTAAAGCGGCTTTGACACTGCAATTCCTTCTGTGACAGCATGTCTCCCCTGAGAACTTCCTGCCCTTTTCCTTCTCTACCTCACAATTTACCCCTTGCCTACCTTTCCACCTCTCTCTATGCCGCCTGCTTTACACACAATCATCTGCTCCTCTTTTCCCTCTCGCCTCTTAAATCAAACAGACACTTTTGGGAAGGTTTATGTGCTCAATCTGGTCAGTTTTCTGGCTTGTTCTAAAACTTGTTCACTGTCTGCTAATTTGCAAAAAAATTTCCGCCCAAAAAAAAGAATCAAAAGAAAAAAAACGATGAGGTATCTTATCACACAACGATTGAACATACAAACTTTCCTTTTTTAATTTTTTTTAAATGTATAAATATTTTACCACTTATCTACATTAGAATTACAGGTTAAGATAACAATTGTGAATACGATCTAAAGATGTGTCTGCTAAAACCCATCTAGATTAAGACTTCTAGACCACATATGCAGCAGTTTTATCCTTGACATAATTTAAAATACGTCAGACAGGCTTCAATAAAAAAAAAAAAAAAACAAAAAAAAAAAAAACAACAAACTGGAATGTATGAGAAGAAGACATTTTCTACACGCTGCAGCAGATGGAAATCATGTGCTTTTGAAATGAGCATCGGAAAATTCTACACTTAGCAGCACCTGAAGGGAAACTACACTTGTGGAATGCAAAGCTTAATGTGAGATAGCTGTTCACGACTGATGGCTCATTGAGTTATTGATGGGTTGAGATGGAGCGCCTAGCAAGCCAATCTTAAAGTTACCAAGGCAAGCAAACCCAAACAATGTCACCTTGAATTAAACACAGTTAATCTTTTATATCAAGGCTTATAAGGAATAAAATAAGCAGTCACATTTTCTTTTTTTTTTTTTGGCAGTTTTGTAGATGAACTGATTATAGAAACGAGGATTATTACCCATCTAACACGAATAAAGTGTTCTACAGAGGATATGCTATACGTTGATGAGTCAGTGAGTCAGGTTAAAACAACATTAACAATACTGCTGTTACTACTATTGAAATGATTAATAGTAATGCTAATCAATTTAGTTTAAATGATAATGTAATGATCCATAATCTGCAGGAAATATAGTATTTGAACAGTTATTAAAGTTGTTAGGTGAAAGATTTTTTACATTTAAATTTATGTGCATATTGATCACAAACTATTTAGAAATGTTCCATTTTTTGTTGTTGTAAAAACTGGATTTTCATGGTTTTGGTTTTAGAGATATATTCTTGCCATATTACTAACAAAGCTCTGATGACATGAATTGCTCCTTTCTCTGTTTAACTAGAAATGCCTTATTGTAAACAAGGCTTTAGCTGAGTCCTCAAAACCACAAAACTCATTTCAGTTTATATCACTATAATTTTTTTCTGCTCCTTTTCTTCAGTTTGCAGTGTTTATGTGCATTATCTGAGCTAACTGTGATAAACGGGGTTAATCATCTTGCAACTGCAGCACAGGATGGGTTCTATTAACTGTAACAGCCACCATACTGGAGCTCAGTTTCTTTGTGTCATTGTGTGTGAGCTTGTTTGTGTGCAAGAGAGCCCAGGGAGCTCCTCTTAATAATGCTGACAGCCTCAGGAAAGTTAAAGGACTTTTTTTTTTCCTGTTCTGCGGCTCTGCAAATTGGGTGCACATCTGTGTGGAGTCTTACTTCTTAGCCTGTTCAAGCAGATCTATTGGTCTGTAGATGCGGCTGTTGGCAGGTGTGCATTTTCTATAGGTCTAGGTAAGGTACACAACACTTTACCTTCATCCCTGAGCCCCATGAATGGGACGACAGACCACCAGAGCGCAACATGACAAATGCACTTATGGTAATAAAACATTGTACTCGCAAGCCAAGTTAGTGTGCTTACACAGGTAGCCTATTTCTCAGGTTGCATGATTTTCAGGTAAACATATCTGTTCTTTGCTCTTTTGGTGTTTGCACCACAATACATCATCACAAGACAAGTGCTTTTACTTCCTATTAGACTGAACTGGGCCACAAATTTCTATTAATTATTTTCCTGCTTTCATGTAAAAGTCTGACTCGCATAGGAAAATGCTTTCCTTATATCATACATGAAAATAGAAAAAAAAGGTCCAAAATGTCAACATACCTGAAAGGGAGCAGTGATTAACACACATCTATACCTAAAATTGCTATCCAGAGGGAATTATACTTATGACCTTTTAAAGCTAAATGCCGAATGAAGAGGGAAAAAAAGATTTGATTGGGCTGATGGAAAGTTCAATACTTGGATATTATAAGGCATAGACATTTAGAAATAAGTTACAGAGATACTTATGTACTTTTCAGAGGGAAAGGTACAGTGGGGGACAGGCTCGGACTGAATACCGGGCATTTGCACGGTGGGCTGGTCCCAATTTCAGCGTGTGAGGGCCGGCCCTCCTTAAATCATACTGACCCCAACACTTACTCTGGCCGTAGCACCTACCTGTGATGGTAAATAACTCAAGGAGCTCAAGTGATACAATGTTAACTACGTAAATGATGCATGCAGTATATATAGCCCTTCCTTATCATGGACATCCTTGTGACAGTTGGTGCATGGTGTAATTTTCTATTTCTTCAAACTGTAAAATCCTTGCTAGAAACTAAATTATAATAAAACTAAAATGCTTTCGTTCGAATATTTTGTAAAAATATGTTGCGGGGTATAATGGGGTTTTGCATCTACAGGCTAATGTTTCCCATCTTAAGTACATGGTTGCCAGGTTGGGATGTTTCCCAATCTGGCAGTTTAGGATGGCCGTCTATGGGTTAAACATGTTTTTCTTTAGATTTATGGCCTAAGAGATCATTAGACTTTGGTTCAAACTGTGTAAGATTTCGTACATCCAGGCGGTTTATGAAAATATTTTGGGCTGTAAAATGTGAGTCAGTGACATCTGGCAGCCCTGCTGATGTGGTGAGTGTGGATGTTAAGCAGCAGCAGTCACTAATGCGTCTGCGTTATTAACCAAAGCCAGTAAAACCACATTATAGAAGTCTTGGTGATAGTTGTCATGTGATGCTTGAAGATAGATTGGTGAATCCACAATGTGTGTTCGTATTGTGTTTCACATTTGAGATGCAAATATTAATATAATATGCAGAACAAAAGAAGGAGAAACTTTCACCGAGGGAGGGAGTTGGCGTCTATTAGCCTTCAAAGTGTTACTAAGGTTTTGAAGATCTTTGTATGTACAATTAAAAAATCGTTCGAAGGCCAGTAGCCTTGGGTTTATTTTTGTGTGTGTGCGCCTTTTCTTTTCCCAGGTTTTGTTTGCAGGTGCAGTTGCTGCTTCCTGTCAGCTGTCGCTGCTATGGGAACTTGCAGTCCTTCTGTAACTTCCAGTTTCCTGCATTTTCTTGTCACTTCCTGTTGCAAGGCTCTCCTCATCTGGATTGGATACTGGCCTGACCAATCAAAGGAGAACTGTTCCTATTTAAACCAGGGCTCTCATACAGACTGGGCAGCTGTCTTTGAACAGCTTCCCTCTTGCTGGTTTGTTCACATGTTGAAACAACTTTTATATAGCTGTGACACTGATACTGGTTGTGTTACTTGGTTCTGTCCTGAATTGGCTAGTGTTTTGTTCCCCGTTCCTCATTATGTTTATCTACATGCTGATTTTGTCTGCAGCACCAGGACTCAGTTTTGTGGCCTTGGGTCTTTTATATTATTTTTGTTAAGCTTTGTGGTTTTGTTTCAATTGTATTTTTAGACTCCTTTTAGTTACCTTTTCCCTAATTCTTCAGCGGTAAACTGAACAATAAAACATTGAAATTATAAAGCGAATTACATCTGGTTTTAAAATGTTCCTTCCCCTTTCTCCTCAGCTGAGCTGGGTTGTAATATAGGGTTTTAAAAAAAAGACGTCAAAATGACAGTTTTATTTTTGCACTGGAATGAAGTAAAGGGTATCAAAGCACTGTCTCTTCATGTCTCTTCATAAATATTGCCTTGCTGCAAGAAAGAAATGAGTATCTTATGTAAGTATTTACCAACAAGGACCCAGCTGAAGCTCATTGTCATGGAACAGCTGTATTATTGCTTTGTGTTATTATAATTAAAGAATGTCATACTGCCCAAAGCTTTGCATCCATACATGCAGCATTAAATTAAGTGACTAACCTGAGTGTATTATTGGCTCTTTACATTCATTTTCAAATTTAGAGGAAATAAAGACAAAAAAAAAATAATTTGTAGGGAAAATCTGAAAATACATAAAGCATTGTGTACAAAAAGCTTAGATGCTCACTTGAGGACGTTTAGGCTGATAAGTTTAAGTTTGCAAATGTTATAAAGTGTTTAAAGCTACATTGTGTAACTTTTAGCAACATCTAGCGGTCAGACTGCAGCAACATGAACATCTCCCCCCCACCGCTTCTCCCCCCCAACAGTACGGCGAGCTTTACAGGACAAAATGTCTTCCACGACGTCCGCATCACCTACCTTCTCAAGTGATGAGGTTTGTTTACATAGATAATTTTACAGATAGTATTTCATTAGTCTGTGTAGGGTATAGATTTCATGTAGACTTAAGATAATAAATATACCCGTTATTTTTTCTACATCGTTGTGACATTTTGGCGATCTCGCAATCGCTAGTTTGTTGGCTCTGCGCTGCCGTAGGGCAAAGATGTCTGCCTCCATGGCTGAGAGACCCGCTCCTATGTAATTATAAATAACAAATTCTAAGGCAACGCAAATATTAAGGTTAAGAGGCTGAGCTTGTAGATGATGATAAAATAACATAGTTATGTATAATATATTACATTTCTGACTGTATATCCCTGTAATTATTACACACTGTAGCTTTAAAGCAACATATGGCGATCACGTTATAATGTGACCCAGAGTTTTTCAAGGTTAGAAGACAATCTGTGAAATTCTGTTAGATTTTATGCGTCGCACGCAAATAAAAATGCAAAACTACTTAAACTGCTGGAAGTTGTGGAAAAATTCTTTATAAACTTTTTAAACTTTCACAATACTCAAAACATAAACTTTAAGTTGTTCCTCAAGAAATAGTTCACAAGCATTTACCTGGCACAGAAGTTCCGAGTGCGACAAATACGACTGCTGTGACGGAGTCTTTCAGACCTACGTTGCAGCCGAAATGAGAGGCCAGATCCCCTGAAAAATGTCACAGGAAGCAAAGTCCATGATGTAATCGCTACACTAAATGCTAAACATTTCACTAAATGCAGTTTAAACAGCAACCTTGTCAATGAAAAAACATATAATCATATAAAGTCAGTCACTAATCTCTTCCACTCGGAGGTTAAGTTACAAAAATAGCAAATATCCATAAATTGGCTGTTAAGAGAGAGAGCACTATAAAATTAAGGGAAAAAAGCAGGGTGTTAGAAAAGGTATAGAACCAACAAGGGTAACAACATAACATGCTGCAGTCATTTTTGCACATCTCTGTTGTTGCTGTTTTTTTACATATCCACTACTGTAAAAATGTCCAGAGCTGTTTATTGGTTATTTATTCTCCAAATGTGCAATATTTATATTGTGAAAATACTGTACAGTAGAGTATTTTATTTATTTATTTTGTAACTCTGTCACTTATTCTGTTATTTCTATACGCTTTTTAAGGTCCACATTTGTGTGACCACTTTTTCTACAATCTTTTGCTGCTGTAACAATTATTCATTATATATATAATTGTGGGACAATAATGGGATTTTCTATTCTATTTTCTATTCTTGGTTAACTGAAGTTTTAAGGGGATAGTAAAGCCAAGCCACTTAAAGAGGCATGCGGTGCCATTGGAACCAGAAACACATCTCACAGTCATATCTTGGGAGATGAGCCATAAATATCATTTTTTTTTTTACTCACTACAAATAAATTGAAATCTAAATATGTAATTTTTTCTTAAAATAATTGCAGTTTTCTTTAATTGAAAGGATTAAAAAAACACTTTGCATATTGAACAAGACTATTTACATTTTAAATAAGAAAAAGACAATTGTATTGTCTTTTTTCTGGTGCATATTCTCAAATTACCTTTTTTTAAAGAGGAAATATTACCTACTTATATTAAGGGTAAATGCACTTAAAGACATTTTCACTTATTTCTATTTTTCTTTTTGCATTTTAGCTATTCCTGAATCAAAGGCAATATTGGCTAAGGGGAAAATGACTGGGAAAGTGTTCTTAAGTGTAATTCTCATATTGCAGCATTTCATTTTTTATTTAAATCCAAAGTTACCAGATTCTGATGAGAATGCAGTAGGTCATCATTTCAGATGCTTGTGTTCTAGTGTGAACTAGATCTGGGCCCTCATGGCATTTGCTTGCATTGTTCCATAAAGTCAAAAATCAGCACAGTTATCCAGCAGGAAACTGTAAACCACCTAATGCTTCCTTCTGCTAACAAGACTAATGGAGATACAAGTTTAATTTCCCAGCCAACGGTGTGAGCTGTTCACACTTCAAAGGGTATCAATACATGCTTTATTGTTGATGTTATAACTGTGGTTGGTTGGCCAACAAAGCCTGCCTGAATAATTAAAATAAACTGACATAAAAACCTGAAATGTGTCGCTTTGCGTACAACTCACCTATGAAGAAATGTTATTTTCAACTGATCTATTAAAATAAACCCATTTCACAGTATTGCTCTAATTTGTTATGATGGACCTGTCAAGTGTGCCATTATATTTGAAACTGTGCTCACCGATGACAGCAGTTAGCAGTCCAATCATACAGATGGAGACAACGAAGCAGGCCCAGCCGCTCCAATAATCAGTGGGGGGGACGAAGGCAAACAGAACTTTCCAGAACACAGTGAGGAAATGCATGACGTAGTCAAAGCATGAGGGCAGTTTTTCCTCCCCGCACTCTTCATCATCGTCATCTTCACCTGAGGGGAAGAAGGAGAGTTTAGGTAAAAATAAGGCTGCAGAGCCTCGATTGGTTTAATCTGTCAACGTTAAAAGAAACATGGAAACAGCAAAAGAGGAAAGTGTTTCTGTGCTGTTATTTACAAAAGCAGTCGAAGGCTCCTTTCAATAAAAGATAAACTATATTTAGTTTGAGGCAATTTCTTTTTCCTTTTGTAAGACGTTTTCACCTTGGTTCCATCAGTATTTCCCAAGTGATCCCTGCTGGCAATTCTGCAAAATTTGTTTTGTTCGACAACAATGGAGACAGGAGAGTGGTTTACATGTAGGTGTAGCTGATGTCTTACAGATGGATGTCAAATTTATAATGACTAAGAAAATACAGCAAGATTAAAAAAAAGCCATGACATGGTACAAGTCAAGTCAATGTTTCACTTCATTGTTGCATTCATAAAAAAATCTTGATTGTTTAATACCTTGTCTAAGAATCTAAGTCCGAACCTTTTTTGAATCCGTTTATCCCAACTTTAACTTAATACAAGATATATATAATGTGCTGATAAAAGTCATCAATCAACTCTAATAAATGTCAGAAGCCTAGTTTCTGCCCCTTCTGTCCAACACATCTGTGCAACGTCAGTATCAGGCTCTAATCACTTCCTCGGGACATAAACTGCAGCCATTCTGAATGACTCAGACTGTGGATATTGATTGTGATTTAATGCAAGGACCACTGAAACATAAAATTCAAATTACTTTTCTGGCTCTATGGAAAGTCACCCCCCCCCCCCCCCCCCCCATTTCTGCTCCATTTAGAAAAGACTCAAACCCACCAGTAAATGAGGCTCCATGCTGCTTTAGTGAAACGCTGTGATTGGGTTAATCCCAGTGAGAGCAGTGACCTCCCGTTGATTTCACCCGTGTCATCCACTTCCCATTTACTACAAAAATTCAAAAAGCTGGCGATGCATTTCAGTTCCCCAAGCAACCAAGCGCACCAAACATTTGCACTTAAATGAGTCCAGCTTGGACAGTTTTCCACCCATTTGCTCCCACATTTTAACCACCATAGTTGCAAAAGCATTGATTGTACCAACTACCAGTTCGTGGACATTTTGCTTCAGTGGACAATAACGTTCCTATTGTGGCTGATCGTTTTTGTAGCAGCTTGCATTTGCACAGCAGAGGCATGTATTTTAGAGACTGCTGAAACATTAATATTCCTTTGTCAAAGAGGGTATCTTAGTTTATACTTGCACACAATCATATTTATTCTAACTGGATAAAGTGCTTTTAGCATTATAAAGAATAGATGTACCCCTTCCTAATGGCTGTCCTGGGAACAAAGCTAAATTAATGTTTAAATGACCATAAATGAAAAAAAAATAAGGTTTTCGGACCAGATTATCTCACACAACAGGGGTCTTTAATTTTTGAGTTAACGATGAGCTCATTAAAAGAATGGCGTGTACAATTTCAATAATGTAGGGTTGATAAGCAATACAAATGTTGGTAATCTAATGTAACATACTGTCACACTTTTGCTTCAGGGGCTTGTAATTGGAAAATAATTATTTCCATCATCAGCCACAAATAAACAGCAAAAGGTCAGTGCAACAGGCAATGCTGTCAAAGATTTGAATCAGGCATACAAACTTGGCCATGAATTATAAAACAGGTCCTGTCATCTGTGTTATATTGCTTTTTACTCTCAGCAGATGTCCTTCCTGCTCACCCACGCCGTCATGTCGGACTGGAGACATTTGCCTCACTTCCTTTCTCCTTTGGCAAATGCTGATGTGCTTTAACAGCACCAATATCCCCTGCTTTCTTTTATCATCAAGTATCAATTTAAAGGTGATATTTTCTGTCTCACTGAAATGCTCTACAGTTTATCTTCTGTATGTTTCACACATAGATTCAAACATCCTGGTACAAGGTCCAGACCCTATTTCAGGGTGAAGTGGATTGTATGATTGGTCTACAGTAAGAGTGAATGCATTTCTTGTTTCAACAATAAACAACATAAGACAAGTAAAAAAAGGATACCTGGTGTTTAGGCAGCTTTGTTTCTGTCCACTGATTTTCAAAATTATAATGAATAACATTGTAATAATGGGATAAGCAGCTTGTTTGTAAAGTGTTGGCTTATATTCAAACCATGAAATCTACTTTCCTTACAAGGAGTTGTTTGTAGAGGAAGAAAGTCTCTGCTTGATTTGTAATGGAAGCAAGATCCATACCATCAGCTCATTTGCGCGTGTACAAGCAGGTATTCATCCATGTCACCATAAATAATGGAATTACAATAGTAAAAGTCGAATGCAATAGGCATTCTCTTCATTATATTGCTCGTCTGATGTCATCATCAGACATACATAAAGTAGTCCGGCAAAATATGATTACGCAGCATTCATCTATCTTAGATTATGCACTATACTGTATAGCTTAAAAATATATCAAAATCCAAACAAAATGAATTGCTTCAACTATTTACTAAATCTAAAGCCGAAAAATCATGTGTTGTAGGAAGACTGTTATTCTGGTTGCAGATGTGCAAATCAGCTGATGACACAGATTATGCTCCTATAACAGATTGGGTAGTAATAATGCAAATACCACAGATACAATAATAGAGGGATGTGCTGATAAATGGTGCCACATGAACACAATGCTACTGGCGGCGGACTAGCTAAGCTAGCCTTAAATCATATTTGTGGTAAGCAGCTAATGTCCATGACACACTGCCAATGCATTAACTACATCTGCACCAAGATCCCGATATGCTGCTATCATCACCAAAGCTACCAAAGACCCATATTCTAAAATTACATTAAAACACTATAGATCCCTACAAGGACCCTCCGTCCATGTTCTGGTTGATTTATTATGGTCATCACCATCCTAAAGCCAGGTTCATAATGCACAATTATTGCCAGTCTTGGTCAATATTATTCGTCTTGGCAAAGTGCTGTATTGCTGTGCAGTATAACTGCTGCTTTGGCTGACATCTGACCCACATCTGACCCCGTTTCCCTTATCCTCCCCTGTCTGTTTTTCAGAGTTTGACCCGATTAAAAGCACACGATCACCTGATGTCCACTCATTATCATATTGACATCCATCCATCCTGTGCGAGCTGATTTTGTTTTATTCATGCAGTTTGGAATGATGTGAAACAGGTTACCATCAGGTGTGTCTGGCTTGAGACTGGGCTGAAAACTGTAAAATGAATTAGTTTTAACCCTTGAAAAAAACAAATTCTATAATGTGATCATATAGGCTTTTTCTCTCTCACCTGCACCTCCCATCCATAGGCAAGCGTTTTAGAAGGAAATAACATTTTAAAAGTTTATTGCCAAATCATTAAATATGTAAAAACCCAATTCATGGTATGTCAGCACGAACCTTAAAGGGTTATAACCCGGAAAATCTTTTAAATTATAAATTTTGCTCTGACCACTTTTACATAATACCCCAGCTGTCTGATTAAATTAACCATTAAGGACTATTTGTGAACAATGTAAATTTTATCGTTATTGTTTTAGCTTAATTCAGTTCCCCACCATACAACATTCATTTTTTTTATGTTTAATTAATCTAAAAGGCCTCATTACCTGCTGGCCTGAAATTTATGTCAACATTTTTGGTAATTTCTTACATGGACTCTAATATTTATGTCAGAAAGGGTAAAATATCAGTACAAAAAAGTTTAAACCTGAAGCAGCTATCTTATTTTCATCAAGTTTGACATAAACAACGAGAAAACGCAAACCAGTCCCTTTTAAAAATATCTAGCATCTATTGTGTAGATCGTCCACAAGGAATGTTATTGTGCTTGTGGAAAAGCTGAATGGGAATCTGCTTACAAAACTTAATAAGATCCCAGTACAATGATCGCACCCATTTGAGTGTCTGAAGATTTTTCACCTAATGCAAGCTTCAGGCAGAGATCAAAGCAGGGGAGCAACTCTTGATATTAAAAGGATCATTGATCTGTGGCATTTTCTTATTCACTACTAGGGAGGCTAAACCTCCCCAATAAATTTAGTAAATTAAGTGGTCAAATATGCATTGTTGAGCTTCATAAATGCAGACACTAAAATGTCTAAAATGTGCACTAAAATGTGCTTAATTTCATAGGCATGATGACATGCTCTCCTCTCCTCTCTAAAGCAGCTCTATGCAAATTCCGATGAGGTTGGAGGCTTCGTGCATTGAAGAAGCCAGCAAGAAATTTGGGCCCTGATTGCATAAAGTGCAAAAAAATCGTTCACTTTCATTGAGGCTAAACCTCTTATGGGGTCTATGGCACAGTGGCGGGTCAGGTGCGGGTCTTGAAGCTGGCTGCTCGATGCTGATTGGAAGAAAACTCTGACTGGACTGACAGTTGCCAGACAGAGAGGAGGTATTCCTCATGGGACTCAGACGAGAGGAAAAAGTGATTATTCAGTCTGTACAGTTGTCTTGCTGTGGTTTCTGGATTTTATTATTTCAGAGAGCTGTACAACAGCTACGTATAGACAAAACTGTAAATCATTACAAACTCCCAGCGTTATTGATCGTTACTGTTTGCATCTTGGTAAAGTTTTGTTTGGACGTCTCTTTACATTTAGATTTAACACTCCTAAGCCTGTCCTGTTTCAGAGACCAACAGCCGCCATTTTCATTGATCACAGATCTGGTGCACTGGCAATAAAACAAAGAACACAGAAAACATTTTTTTTTAGTTAAAAGATATTTTGCCAAGAAACAAATTCAACAAAAAACAACAGTCGGAGCATAACTGATAACCTTACAAATAAGCACCATTATTTGATTTATTATTGTTATTATTTTTCCTGAGATGATGCTAAACTGTTCTGGAAGATTCTAGATGATGAAGTACAGCCATCTTCACTCTGGCTCAGATTTACCATATCATTTTTTCACCCATATTTTATGCTTCATTTTATTTTTTCACCGCTTCTCCAACTATTTTGACACCCCGACTTTGCCAATACATAATATTGTCTATGAC